GGTATTATTATTTTTAAACAAATGTATTGTATGTATACGTTTAATTTACATTACCCTGTTCACCGATGGCATTTTAAAAGTTACATTTTGCCGCAAAGCGCCGTCACGTCACGACAAACATTAACTTCCATGATTCATACATGAAAATGAAAGCCAAGAAATACGACGACTCGCGTTCCTGTAATTTTATTCATTTATTCTAACAACAAATGCCGAAATCATAAAGTAATTAAGCGAAAAGATAAAAGATGGAAATTAAAAAGCTAGTCACGCAAAATCTCACTAAATGTATCCAGATGAACCAATTACATAAGTGACTTTCCACCCGACCCCTCCCAACTGTTCTCAATTACGGAAAAAGCCTCTAGAGCTGTTTAATCTGGCCATATTTCAAAAATTTCGCACGTTATATTCAGAACGAAGTCGTTTTCTATATCATTTTATCGACTTATTTAGTTTTATCCTAATTAATATAATATTTTGCCAGATATCTATTTGATAATTTTTATTATAAATTCTTTATTAAAATTTTAAAATTCTAACTTGCGTTTATAAAACTTTTTCACTTGATAAAATTTTATGTTGCAAGACAGTTTATTAAAAAAATGCATTTAAATATTTACAGCTGCATAGATTTTTAAAACACACTGTATATTATAAATTATAAGACATTTATGTGACATCTGGCGGAGAATAGGCAAACTTGTCGGTGAGAACTTTCTTTTTCTAGCCAGAAATTGCAAATCTGTATGTACTTATAAATGCATTAATCTATTACTTTAACTAATAACTAGTTCATTTTTTTCAAATGGACATGATATTAGTCAGTTTGCATTATTATTTTCTATTACATCTCTGCTACAAGTTGATTTACTATTTTTATTGTTTACTACCTACCAGCATGCACCCATATTGCAAATTCTAATTTGAATAGATTGAATAGATAATATTTAATTTATGATTCTTCAACTTTCGCTTATTTACGGATAAAAATGTGGATTTAGTTGTCGTTCTTATTGTTTTTGTTGATTAAGGATTTAAATTGTCGCGCGTGAAAAGGTAAAGAAGAGAGGAAACATTGCAATTGACAGTTGTTTAATTTCGGCCAATCCGCGCATGTTTGTCAGGTAAACTTCCGTTTTCAGTCTGACGCCATCACAAAATCGTGCTTTTGGTATGATTTCATTGGTGAAGTGTAGTAGTTTACAGTGCACGAATTTGGCAGCCTAATTGAAGTTATTTGAGTATTTCCAGGTTTCTTTCGCTGGTGATATGAGCGACCGAGACGTAAGTACTATTTTTAAGCTATGTTTTAAAAATAGGAAAAGTGATGTGTTTGGTTGTGTTGTGCCGGTACTTCTCGCGCTAACCCAGTCACGTTTTCTACGCATTATATCCAAAAACACGCTTTACCAATTTTTATATGATCAGAAAAGATAATTTTATTTATAAACATTAAAATTAGTTGTAGTTTCAGTCCCTAAAGATAAAGGCGTGAGCTCGTGTAATATTGATCAAACTGTTGTTAAATATAGGAAAGCCATTCGTTACCACCCCATAAACAGATGAACGACCACTCACCACACGCAAAGCGAGACGAATCTCCAAGAAATCACAAAGGCAAGAGTTACTCAAGGTTAGTACAGTATACACTACATTTCTATAGTGCAACTTTTTATTCTAAATATTAGAAACAAGACAATAACAAATCTATTCTGTGCAATGGTTTCATTGATAGTTTTACAACTCTTACCTAAAACCTGTGGTTATTGAGAGATTTCGTTTATATAGAAGCCTACTCGATTCACACAGGAATATTATTTCTGAAAATCCCGTGCAGATATACAAGTTTCACATATACTCAGCTCCGATAATTTTCATACAGCTTTTCTATTTAGTTTGATTATGAAGTAGTTACATTTTAGGTATGGATTTTATTTAAAAATTGTATTGTAAGCATAGTGAGAAAGGTTAATGTTTTGAACAGAATTAAGTAACTTGTCAACACAGTTTTGTTGAGTTTTATCTGATATATCAGTTACTAGTTTTGCTTGAGAAAAATGCCAAATGCTTTTACTTATGTGTGTATTTACTTAATGTGTTCTGTTTTCTCGAGTTTAAGAGAAAGTATTTACTATATAAAGTACTATGATGATTTCAGGAGCCCTAGCCATTCTCGTAAAATGTATAGGGAAGGGGAACGTGATAGAGAAAGGAGAGGTGGAAGAGATGACAGAGACAGAAAGTACAGGTAATTAAATCTTTAAATATATTTTTGGAAAGGGCCTCAAATATAAAATAGTTTTGAAAAAATCAAATTTTCGAGAAGGTTGATTCTTTTCTGACTTCATATGGGTATATTTTTAAAGGGAAGGTATTGTAAGATGCACTAATAAACACGAATAACTTAGTCTACAGTAAGAATATGAAATTTGATTTTCGATTTGTATAGAACAGTTTTACCATGCATGCATACATTTCTGGCAATGGTTATTACAATTTTTAAATTTATGTACTTTTGATAATGAAAAGACTATTTACTTTTTAGATCGCGCAGTAGATCACGTTCAGACAGACACTACAAAACTTCAAAATATTCTCGTAGTAGGTCACGTTCTCATTCTCGTGGCAAAGGTTACAGTCGCAGATCTCATTCTCACAGTCCTATGTCAAGTAGAAGACGACACCTCGGTACCCGGGACAATCCCAAACCGTCACGATGCTTGGGCGTTTTCGGTTTAAGTGTCTACACAACAGAGGAGGAGTTGTACCACATTTTCTCAAAATATGGTCCTGTCGAACGAGTACAAGTAGTTATTGATGCTAAGGTTAGTCTTTATAAACCCTTTTTAATTATTTATTTGAGGAATTCATTTCATTTCCATAAAATTAATGACACTAATACTTATTTATAGAACTTTTCCTTAAGTTATGTCAAAAGGGCAATATAATTGTTTGATTTAAAGAATTATATATTTAATTTTTAACAAATTGGGCAATTTTATGTCATTTTTAGGTTCCAAGTAGTTTAATTTAATTTTTAATAAAAACTAAAGAATACGAAGATTGAATAGATTTTTTTTTATGTAACTGGAAATTGCAGATTCTTCTATGGTTTTCTAAATCTTTTTATTTTGGTGAAAGCAAATATGCAACAAAATGCCTTATATTTATTTTTATATTCTTTTTATCAAAGCCGCACAATGTGTCCTAAACCTGTGAATTTGAGTTGTTTTGTCCTAAATACAAAATGCCTTGATGCACACAGGGAGAAGAAATTTTAGAAATTGACACTGGCGAAAGTTTACGTTTTCGTTTAGTTCATTTATACTAAAGACAGTGAATCTGTATACGGATATGTACTAACCATGTACCATTTGTACCAAAAACAATTTAAATCTTAAATGTATTGTATATAAGAAAACTTTAATAGATCCCATTTTTTTTTTTGGGCATGTTACCTCTGTTTGCTTTCATGTTTTTCTCTTTTAAAATTTAAAACGAAGTTGTACTAGATTTTGAAAAAAGTTCATTTATGTTATTTTTATGACTACATAATTTGTTAGTCATTAACTACTGATCTTTATTTTGTAATTTATTTATATAGGTCATAATTAAAAAGTATTTTTGTTTGTGTTATAGACTGGTAGATCAAGGGGCTTCTCTTTTGTATATTTCGAGAACACAGACGATGCAAAGGTAGCCAAAGACCAATGCAATGGAATTAAAATCAATGGTAAAAGTATAAGAGTTGATTTCTCCATAACCGAAAGAGCACACACCCCAACACCTGGGATTTATATGGGAAAACCAACATAGTAAGTTAGACATCAATGTTCATTTGAATTTCCAAATGTAACAACATTCTGCATCATCTAGTTGTAATCGTTTTATACTGGATGACATTGTTATATTTTGGTAAAGTAATTGTAGGAGGTCTTTAGGCAAGATACTGAGCAGGTGAACAGGTTAATTAATCTTGCAAAGGCACCTCTTTACATTATAATCTGAGTGAATCTTTGCAAATTATTAACTTTTTAAATTAGCTATTTAAAAAAGAATGGTTATTTTGTTTAACATTACGAAATCGTCATTAGTCACTTCATTATTTATGGACTGTTGGATTGTTTTGTTTACTTATATACACATTCTATTGTTAAATTCCTTTGGATTTTCAAGTTATTAACGAGATTGCTATATTTATAAGGTGCCCTAATAGGTTTCCCTCTTTTTTCTATATTGTCTATAATCTGTCTATTAATGCTATCTGTCCACATTTTCTCTAGATGATTTCAACAGCGCATCTAAATTGCCTTCTCCACAATTTTGATTAGGGTTCATGTTTCGCATATACAATGTTATACTTTAAATGTATGTGTTAATTAGTTTTTTTTTCCTTATATTTTTATTAATATGCAAAAAGTAAATAATTTAAATGCTTAAACATCATTACAGAAAACAATAACAATATCTACAATTGATATCAAAGCGAAAATAGCCATAGCCAACAAACATTTTATAGGACAATCAAATTTGTTTCATTTGTTCAATTGGTAATTTATGTGTGTTTTATTTACAGTGAGCGTTGGGACCGCAGAAGAGACCGCGATAGAGATAGAGAGTAAGTTACATATTTTGTTGTAAAGTATTTTTTTCTTAGATTGAATTTTTTAAAGCGTAACTGTATGCTACTGTGAATTACCTGTTTTTGTTTGAGAAGTCATATTATTTTATGTCACTTATGATTTCTTGTATAAACAGGGATATAATTGATTTTGAAACTTCTTGCACGTTAAGATATGTTAACAACGTTTTAATTACATATCTGACACAGTTGTTTCACAACAGAATTGAATGACAAAAAGATATAAAACAAAATTTAAAATAGTAATAAAGAGAAAGTGTAGTGTTTTAAACCCAATTTTGAATAGTACTAAAGTCAAAGGTATAATGAAATTTTTAATCGTTGGACAATAAATAGTCGTTTGTTTTATATCTTTTTTATATATTAGTTGAGAGAGAGATCTGTTTGTGTACGCCTTAATTTGCATTAATTAAATATAATGAAATTTATCGTGCGTTGGTAATAAAATCTAGATGATTTATTAAAGATGCCTTGCTCTGTTTAATTTTTGGTATATGATCATAATTTTTAAATTTGCTTTTATATTAGTATATCATTCACTAATTTTGGTGGCATTCAGGGATGCTTAGTTTAAATACCTGTTTTTAATTATTTGCCATAAAATGGAGTTGCTGTTGTTGCTGTTGTCGTCAGTGTTAGTGGGTGTCGGGATGCATGTTCATGATTCTTTAATTTTCAGTGATTATTACTACCGTTCTTCTAGATACCGCAGATCCCCATCGCCATATTATCGTCGCAGTAGGCGTTACGATCGTTCCCGTTCCAGATCTTATTCTCCACGTAAGTAAAAGAAAAAATATTAAATATTGTTTGTTATTGTTAACACACATAGGTAGTAGCTCCCAGAAAATCTTCTTCTCTTGTTTTAATTATGTATTCATATATTTTTCCTCTATAATTTTTAATTGATCTTATTTAATTTTCCGTTTTCTTATCCTATTTTCCTCTTTCTAATTCAGTGATAGTAGTAGTAACTTTCTCATAAAACACGACATTTTTAATAATACACTTTGCATACTTTGCGTTAGTTGTAACCTGCATGTTCCACTGTCTCCTGTCAAAATTTCTTCTAAGCTTGTTATTTGAATGCAGTGTCTCCTCTTCAAACTGATCGTGTTCTCTCCTAAATTTTTTCTTTGCTTTTGCTTTATTAATGGTATTTTGAAGAGATTTTAGTGTCCAATTTTCCTGTTATAAAAATTAAAGTATGTTCTACACCCTGTATAATAGAACTAGATGTATTACCATTGCAATATTTCTATTGCAAATTTTAAGTTACTTTCTCTTATTCGTTAGGGATTTAATCAAATACTCTGCACCACAATCATATTTCAATTTACCCAATTTTAATTTTTAGTTGATTGTTGTTTATAGTAAAATGCTTTTTTTGTAATTACGCGACACTTGAATTTTTATAACATGAACTACCTAGTGGACGTTTATGATATACTACAGTGCACTAGAATTTTTTGCTTTTTTTTTCCAGAAACGTTTAAATAAAACGTTAGTAAAGAAACAATGGGTGGTATGCATAAAGTTAAATCCATGGTATAGTCTCCATTTTTAAAATACCCACTACATTTGAAATACATAAAGATGTAAATAGAATCTTAAACTGTATTTTCTTGAGGATCTGTTCACTCATTCGAGTCCTGACCCAGATTTTTGTATACGTAAATGATTGTATTTGCTCACACTGAAGAGTATAATCTCAGCTATCGCACATATAAATACCAATTTTTTGTAAAGTTTACTACCATTTTTGAAAATATACGTGCAAATATAAATTTTACTTAGGGATAAAGAGCGAGTAGATCTTTAAGAATATAGTGTAAAAACTCACATGTCTGAGATTCTATTCACATTTTTAAGCTTTTCAAATGGAATGGCTACTATAAAAATGTGACACTATATACATAACAAATATCTTTAAATTCTGATTTTGAATTTATTAATGCGTACATTCGTAAGCAGTGTTTTATTAATTTGATTGGCGTATTTATAGAGGATGATAATTTTGATTGATTTTGTCTAACTGTAAATTTACAAAGGAATCATAAAAGTTGTAAAGTACCTAATTAATATCACTAGGTTCTAATGCACAATAAGCAATTTCAAACGTATAAAACTAAAAAGTTTTGTATGGAATGGTTTTTTGAATGTGTGAATTCATACGTAGTATGAAATAAGGTTTTATTGTGTTAATATGATATTGTGCAATTTATAAAGTTGTTTAAACAATGCGAATACACTGAATACTGGGCTGTCAAGAATTTTGTTAGCTAGAAGATTTTACATTTTTATATAAGAAGTACTGTCATTAAATAAACAGGCCAATCAACCTTTGTCGAATTTCTGTATGTTTAAGATAACAAAATAATAAGTTACTTTTTAAATATTACTTTTATTTACGAATTGGCTATTTTTATTTTATGACACTGGATTTGTATTTTTTTTTTAGAAATATCTACATTAAATAATTTTGTATAATGTAGCACAGTTTAAAAGTTCGAATACTTTGGTAATCGTTTTTCTTCATTTATCGTTAGTTAGTAGAATGATGCACGCTATTATTACATTTTCTTGAAAGTGGAACTCTTTGTTAATATGTTTTTATTCTAATCCTAATTTCAGGTCGTTATTAAAACAAATCTCGCCCTGGACACGCGACGTCATAAATATTGAATGGATATTTAGTTTTTAGATTAATAGTTTATAGTTATCATTGCGAAGGAGTTTTCACACACTGACGCGTATCGAGATGTACGAAAAAATTAATGTGTAAGGACTTCTTCGTTGAATATGTTTCTCCTTTTGTACACTTTTTAAGTTTTTGATTTTCCTTGTTTTGGCACACAGAAAAAAGGTGATCGAACACAATAGCGTTAACAGCTGTTTGAAAATCTTTTTCCTGCACCAACAAAGAAAAAAATTCGTTATTAAAAATTACGATTAATATCCTATTTATTATATTAATAATTTGTGTACAACTCAGCTTTTAATCGGTTCCAGCCCAGATCGACGATTAGGACTGTTGTTTATTCTTTTTATTTGATTTTGTACGTCGTGTATAAAAGTTCTAGATGTTGAAAAAGTATTTCTTTTTTTAAAAAACAAAATCGAGTCTTGTGATTTAATGATTGAACATTTGACTAATTACAATTAGTAATAGTGATAAACTTAATGTTAGTTGTAATAAATTTCATTACATGACTAATATTGCTTTCTCTGTTAAAAAGGGGTAAGAATAAGAACAAGAGGTATTGGATGATGATGATGAAATTGAATGAAGTTTGTGTTAGGAATTTCTCAAGTTAATCGCCTATTGAAAAAGAATGAAAAAAGTCATGAAAAGACGGATTCTCTTGCCGAATCGAATCGCTTCTTGCGCCCTAAGAACGAAAATTTGAAAATGAAACACTCACACCCTTCAGTCTCGTATGTTGTGACAAATCGAAAAGAAAGTCAGAAAAACGGAAAATTTGCGAATATTCAGAAAATCTGCTTGCTGTCGCTCGCTGAATGTCAAAAGAAATCTTCCCCTTTGTGTCATAGAAGACATCTTAGTGTTTTTATTGGTTTGAGTTGTATGTTGTTTGTTCCATTCGTTTAATAGGTTTGGACGAACTCATACACTTCTCTAACCATTTCTTTTTCTGTTTTATAGGGCTTCTTTCTAATAATTATCAAATAAATGATGAGATTAAAGAAAGAAAGGGATTTTTGTAACAAAACATCCCCCTATAACACCATCATCCTTATTTTTCCTTCTTCTTTCACAACATATTACTTTTTAAGACGTCCAACGCGAGCTTAACAATTTATAAACAAACTTTAAAGAGACAAATTTATAGAATGGTTGAATTGCTAAGTATAAAATCAGCGGGATTTCAGTAAAAATTTCTATGAAATTAACAATTTCCTTAAGTTTACTTCGTTGATCTTTTAATGTGCACTAACAAAGAGGCAAAGCACGGTAGATTGTTATAAGATAATGTTTAAGGTAAGTAAAATATTTTAAACATGACTATAAACTACGTTAATAACAAAACGAAACAACTGTTTAATTAGTTCTAACAGTGGTAATTTCAAGGGTCATACGTGGTTCAGAAAAAGCCAATTTCTAGCATCTGAAGTTTTTGAAAGGTCAATCTCAACTTGAGGCATACAAATAACTTCTTAATACTATTATTTGTGTAGCTAAACTATAAATTCATATTTTTATACCGTGGAATCTTGAATAAATAGTTCTTTTAAATAACAATGATGTAGCTGCGAACTTTATCTTTTTAGAGTTAATTTAGATATCTACTGTGAAAATTGGCTGTTCCGATTTTTTAATTTATGAAGATTATGAATATCCTATAATAGTTAATAAATTGAAATTATTGCGACACCCTGTATATAGACCGTCTGTCGGGGATTTCCGAGCGTATATACCATATTACATACAGCAGTGTACCGAATTCGATAGGTTGCATAACTACAACAGGGAAATTTAGCAAAAATAATTTAATGGAACTTTCTTATACTACACCATTTACAGCGTTGTAATTAAGTTAAGCGGTTGCATAACTACGGTAAACATTTTTAAAAACAATTATTTAAAAGCTTTGGTCGTATTGCAATACAAAAATACGTCGCTGAGTGATTCCATCCCTTACTTAAGATTTATAATCAAATTTAAAGGTAAATAAAAAATTATTAGTATCCCTCGAGCTTTTCGAAAGTTTCAAAATACGTTTATAGATTCTCGTTGTCTTATCAATAAAATATGTTTGCAATAAATTACCTTTTTAAATTTATATTAAAAGTTTATTTTATCTTTAACATTTCATTCAAGTAGTTGTTAGTAATTTTAAACCCCGCGTCCTTAGAGTAAAATTGATTACTTAATAAAATTTTACACCCCTTCCTCATATGATAAAAGATAATGGAACATTTTTAATCCATTAAACATTACTATTATAAGTTATATCAATTCGTTAAGTCATAAAAAATAAAATGCACATCTATATTAAAATTGCATTGATTGATTGTATGACAGTCCTTACAATATTTTCATTTTATTTTAATAACAAAAATTTACAAAACAATATTTCAACCACCTATAATATGTTGTCTAAAAAGTTGTCAGGACTGTACTTAAATTCCAGGTTGATATGAGTAAATAGATAGCTATTATTTAAATTCCTTATTTTTTTATTATTCCCTATACGGATAGGAAGGTTGTTTCTTATCGGTTTAAGTTTTATTATGAGGAGTTAGTTAATCGTCACATTTAAAGTTATTTCCATTTAGTATTGAAGCTAGACGAGCACAGTATAATGTAGAGGGAGTAAGAGAGAGAACGAATCGGACAGCATGTTTATGGAAAGTTGATATATGTTGTGTCTTGTTTTTATGGGATCATTAATATAGATCACAGCAACCTGTTGTACTATAGAAGAACGCGGCTGCCATCTTGTATTATTTATTCGGTGAAAGTGATTATAATAAGACAATTAGCTTTTGTTTTTACGGTAATTAAGTGCGAAAATGTGCGATCATGGAAACATAGGCACCAATTTGACGACGGTCGTGTTCCAAGTAAGTCTTTCATTATTGACAATGTCTTTAACAACTATAAAATTTAAATGTATTTGTTTATGGTCACTTGTGTCGGTGCTCTGGTTATGTTCAAAGCCGGTAGCATGGGACAGTGTAGGTATTTGGTTACCAGGTGTATGTAGGTACATATTATGTTATTAATACTAATACTACAAATGCCCACAAAGTATTAACGCAAATTGCATAATGACAGTATTTTGGTACAACTACCTATAAATGTAATTACTTAGGTGGAAGTAATATTTTTTAATTAATTCAATAATTGTTTAATCTTGATCTTTATGTTATGATCCAAGTGTATGTAAAAATTGGGGTGGTGTTGTAATTGCTTCATAGAAGCAATTAAATTGATTACTTTTAATTACGCTTAATTGACGAAAATTAATCATAGAACCAGTACCTAAATGCACCCAAATCGTAAATACTAAGTTGCATCAAAGTACTCAATATCCCTTGAAAAAATATTATTAAGCTTTATTGAAATTATTTACTACATTTCTAAAACTTATTATTAACTTACCCGTATTAATCTATCTACTCTCCCCTCCCTTATTACTTTCCTATGCCACACTTCTTTCGCTGCCCTAAAGACAAAAACAACCCCCCCATTCTCATTCACCAATGCATAACTCTTTTCCTAGTTTTACTATCCTCACATCCTCCTGACATATGCTTCAGACATTCTACGTAACTCCCTACCACATATTTTACACCGTCTGACTTGTTCCTTTTTCCAATATTTGCATCCCCTACTCGCATTCCTTGTCCTAAATTTTGCTTGTTTATTTCCCTCCCTTCTAAATACTTTGCCATCCGATAATTTTGCCAGTCCCTCTACAAAATCTACTTCAGGCCTACCACATATCCTGGCTCTTATTTTTCTTAGATTCTCTCCCCTTATCATTTCCCTGGTACCTTTTCCCCTTCAATTCTACTATATTGTTGATCCATTTCCTCAACAATTCCCTCACTTGGTCTTGATTGATTTTTAATATCTACATATGTATTTTTCGTCTCTATTTCCAATATATTTTTTCCCTATTGTCCCTTACTGGTATCACCTTCTTCCAGCTTTCCCAACCTATCCTCTCCTTTTTCATCGCATTTTCCCACTTCCTCCTACGTTTAGTCGCACTCCTTATTGCATAATCTGACGTACTATCTCTAATTATAATACCCACTTGATATATCTTTTACACAAAATATTAATCTGTTTCTTCCTCCCATCTCCATATTTCCACTCCATAAAACACTAAACTTGTCATCATCACATTGAGTAACATCAGTTTCCTACTCCTTGATTGTTGATGTGGTAATGTGCATCTCATTCCTATTATTATACCTCAACATATATCCTAAATATGCATAATTCTTCACTTTTTGTATCACTAACCCCTCCCATGTTGTTTTGTTTCTTCCCTTCTTTCTTCCTTAAAATTTAATTTTTCACTATTTAGCTCTAGCCCTTTCTGGAATATATACCTACTTTTCCAACTTTTCTACCTTTTCCTTCATCCCACAAAATTATCCACCACTAACATCTTAAAACATCTTGTGACTAAAATCTTGAAAATTATGCGATGCTTATATTTAATGCTGCACTTTCTCATCAAGGGGTGGTGAATACAGCATACGCACCGTGGTAAAAAATAAACCTGCGACCTGAGACGTTCTTTTACTTTTTCTCTCAAGGTGCGTAATTTACTAATTTCATCATGGAACAGAAGTTTTTTTGGATTGAATGGAATTTAAAACGTACAGCGATTTAATCGAATCTTTGCCAATTCAAAAAAAGGTTAAAACATATTGTTTATGAGGTAGCATTTAGTTGCCCTAATAATTCAACAAATTTATTCTATAACTCGTAAAAAGGAAATAAGTATTTTTAATCATCATGGCTACCTAAACTCTTCTATAAGCTGAAAACACATAATAATTAGCTCTGAAAAGCGGTGATTTTCGTTACAATATATTGATGATTTTTGATAATTTGTTCCGAACAAGCGCTTTACAAATAGAATATAAAATTTAAATGCGATATATTTATATACAATGGATATATCTTCACGATTACTCTTTCATACCATTACCTTTACTCTTAACATTGTCTTTATATTACCTCCACTCCTTGCTGTAGTCTTTTAGCACAATAGGACAATGTTAAAAGTAATGGTTATGGTATGAAAGGTAATTGGTAAAATATCCTATCTAATGGATATACTGTAAATTGTGCTACAGAAGTATTAATATTAATACGAAACATGACATAACATAACTGAAGCTTTGACTCTACATCATCTAAATTGAGAATTAAATATACTGACAACGTTGTGCTACCTTTACATGAATTTGAGATAGTAACATTAAATACTGAGTATCCTTGACAGCTCGTAAGTCCCTAATTTTTTTCTTTGGTACCAAATTAGCTCCTTTCTTGTGTCTTCCATTAAACACTTTTATTCATAGTCGATTTGGCTTGATTTTGTTTCTATTTTTATTGCAAGTTTCAATTTATCGAAAACGTAAAACTGGATAGAATATAAATGAAAATTCTTTGAATAAAAGTGAACACACTGTATCCACTCACTAAGGATAATGAGATAGGACGGTAGAAGATCGTTTAGGGACACCAATAAAAAAGGGACTTTAAGTATAAAGAAAAGAGCCGCTTCAATTCGGACGTATCAGCATCGGAAAATAAATTAAAGAAAAGAAAACGAGATTAAGGGCTTCACAAATACGAAAAGCAATTACTCAAATAAAGAGACAACTCCTAGACCTGACTAAATTGAGCCTTTTCGAGTGGCTATTGATCCGTTCGCGGTTCGAATTGATTTGAAGGAGCAAATATTGAAACTGAATTGAATGAATTGTCATTGGGGGTATAGGTTGTTAATAGTCGTCGTCGAATGCTACACCATACACCTCTGTGTGTAGGATATCTATATGTACATGTACCATATGTCCTCTGCTACCGTTATTTCCGTTGGTTTTGTATCAGTTAATTGATGTAACCTGACCGAATTGGTCGAAATGACCGGCGGTTTTTTCTTTTCTTTTCTTCTTTTGCTTAGAAGTAGAAACATAAAAAGGTATAAAATATCTGTACAAAAACAGGAAATGATATCCCTTATAAGGGATATCATTTCCTGTTTTTGTACAGATATTTTATACCTTTTTATGTTTCTACTTCTAAGCAAAAGAAGAAAAGAAAAGAAAAAACCGCCGGTCATTTCGACCAATTCGGTCAGGTTACATCAATTAACTGATACAAAACCAACGGAAATAACGGTAGCAGAGGACATATGGTACATGTACATATAGATATCCTACACACAGAGGTGTATGGTGTAGCATTCGACGACGACTATTAACAACCTATACCCCCAATGACAATTCATTCAATTCAGTTTCAATATTTGCTCCTTCAAATCAATTCGAACCGCGAACGGATCAATAGCCACTCGAAAAGGCTCAATTTAGTCAGGTCTAGGAGTTGTCTCTTTATTTGAGTAATTGCTTTTCGTATTTGTGAAGCCCTTAATCTCGTTTTCTTTTCTTTAATTTATTTTCCGATGCTGATACGTCCGAATTGAAGCGGCTCTTTTCTTTATACTTAAAGTCCCTTTTTTATTGGTGTCCCTAAACGATCTTCTACCGTCCTATCTCATTATCCTTAGTGAGTGGATACAGTGTGTTCACTTTTATTCAAAGAATTTTCATTTATATTCTATCCAGTTTTACGTTTTCGATAAATTGAAACTTGCAATAAAAATAGAAACAAAATCAAGCCAAATCGACTATGAATAAAAGTGTTTAATGGAAGACACAAGAAAGGAGCTAATTTGGTACCAAAGAAAAAAATTAGGGACTTACGAGCTGNTTAGAAAGAATAGGAGAACAGAGGACTCTATGGAAGTCAATAAAAAATAGGCGAGATAGGTTGGTAGGACACCTTTTCAGACATGAAGGTCTAGTCAGAGACATATTAGAGGCAGAAACAGGAGTTAGGAAGGGTAGAGGTAGACCTAGATTAGGTTACTGTTCTCAAATAGTTAAGGATGTAGGCTGTTCTAGTTTTAGGGAAATGCGAAGTTTAGCTCAGGATAGGAAAGAGTGGAGGTATGTGTCCAACCAGTCTTAGGACTGACGACCTTATGATGATGATGATGATCTTTTTAAAGTAAGTTATATATTATGTGTATATTGGTCTCATCCATTTCATTATCATAAGGTCGACAGTCCTAAGACTAGTTGGACACTCATCTCCACTATTTCCTATCCTGAGATAACCATATTTTTAACTATTTGTGAACAGTAACCTAATCTTGGTCTACCTCTTAACTCCTGTTATTTCTGTTTCTAATATGTCTTTAACTAGCCCTTCATGCCTAAGGTGTCCTACCAACCTATCTCGCCTATTTCTTATTGACTTCCGTAGAGTCCTCTGTTCTGCTATTCTTTCTTATACCTCTTCATTTCTAACCTTCTCTATCCACGGTATTCTCATCATTTCTAACGCTTCTAACCTTTTCTTTTCCTCCGCGCCCACCGTCCATGTTTCGCACCCATACATACACCTTTAACAATCTTTTTCGATTTTCTACATTAATCGTTGGCGAACATAGAAGTGACTTCTTTTTATTGAAGGCGACTCGACCCTCCTGCGCTATCCTCTGCTTTATATCCCTCATCCATTTAAAAATTGTAAATTTTTCCATCGACGATTGTACATTAACATATGTACCTACTAGGAATTAAGACTGTTTTTTTTTTGTTTCTGCTCCAATTTGTCAATCTTTTAGCGTCGTATCTTAAGAACTCGTAAACGTTAAGCTTCGTAGAACGACGCAAACAGGATTTGTTTTTCATTCCTTTAACATTAGAAAAATTACGGTATCACTCAACTGTGAGTAATTTGGTCTTGGTCTTACATATTCGGCATTGGTTTTAGTCTTGGTCTTGTTCGTCTTGCATAA